GACAGGATCATAGGGGAAGAGAGGGAAAAATGAAACAAGGTGAAACCAGAGAGGGAGACAAACCATAAGAGACAGGAAACAAACTGAGGGTTGCTAGAGTCGTGGGGGATGGGAGGTATGGGGTGGCTGGGTGATGGACATTGCAGAAGGTATGTGCTATGGTGAGCACTGTGAATTGTGTAAGACTGATGAATCACAGACCTGTACCCCTGAAACAAATAATACATTATATGTTAATAAAAAAAAAAAAAGAGTCTGTTACAGTTTGTCTCCCTCTGTGATTTCGTCATTTTATTTTTCCATCCCTTCCCCTATGCCCTCTGTTTTGTTTCTTAAATTCCACATATGAGTGAAATCATATGATAATTGTCTTTCTCTGACTAACTTATTTCGCTTAGCATAATACTCTCTGGTTCCATCTATGTCATTGCAAATGGTAAGATTCATTTTTTTGATGGCTGAGGAGTATTCCATTGTGTATGTATGTATGTATGTATATATATATGCACCACATCTTTATCCATTCATCTGTCAATGGGCATCTGGGCTTTTTCCACAGTTTGGCTATTTGGAAACATTTCTTAATGTCCTTGATGATCACAAAAGTGTCCTTGTAATATCTCATTGAAATTTACGTTTATGTTTTATATATTTTTCTCTACTAATGTTATACTTGACAATAAAAAACTAAATAAGATATTTTGAGAGAATTCAATGCTGTGCTATCTATATTTGATTTATTTAAGGAAGGCAAATATTTTTTGTGGGAATGAAAATATCTAGTGAAGGGAAAATATTAAAACATAAGCAAGAATAACTGATTTTTTTAAGGAATCTCAACTTAGGGATGTAAATATGAAATGATTTTATTATAATAATTACCTCCTAATTTCCTATACTAAAGGTGGCCATTTTCTTGGTGAGGGGTTAAAAAAAAAAGGACTGTTCGCTCTTCCTTCCAGGTGTCTGCCCTAACTGGCTATGATCTTTTTTTTTTTTTTTTTAAAGATTTTCTTTCTTTATTTGACAGAGAGAGACACAGCGAGAGAGGGAACACAAGCAGGGGGAGTGGGAGAGGGAGAAGCAGGCTTCCCGCTGAGCAGGGAACCCGATGCGGGGCTCGATCCCAGGACCCTGGGATCATGACCTGAGCTGAAGGCAGACGCTTAACGACTGAGCCACCCAGGCACCCCTTTGATCTTTAACTCTGAAACTGAGTGGCTTGTGAAGGATCCTTGGAGCCGATCTTTCTGTGTCTCTGTACGATCTCAGCTTTGTGCCGGCTGCAGTACTGTGTCGCTTTCCTTTGCTTTTTTTTTGTTTTAATATATATTTTTTAAAGATTTTTGTTTATTTGTTTTAGAGAGAGAGAGAAAATGGGGGAGGCAGAATCTCAGGCAGACTCCAAGCTGAGTGCAGGGAGCCTGATGCAGGGCTCAATCCTGTGACCCTGAGATCATGACTTAAGACAAAATCAAAAGAGACGCTTAACCAACTGAGCCACGCAGGTGTCCCTATTTGTTTGAGTTTTTGGGATTTTTTTGTTTGTTTTTTGGTTTTTGGGTTTTTTTGGTGGGCAGCAAAGCAAAGTTTATTGAGCAATAGTAAAGTGATAGTACAAAGCCCCCGAAGAGGGAGGGGGACCTGAGAGGGTTGCCTGGTTTG